ATGTTTGCATAATGATACAAGTTAACAACATTTGTATAACCAAGAAGAAATGTTTTTAGAAAGCTGGAGATCCCTTGATCCCTTGAATTACTAATTGTTTGGATCAGTAGTAAAGTGAAGAGAATGCTAACTCCCTGAAGTCAGACTGAAGTCATTGTGAGCTTTTGAGGTTTTGGGAGGTAATTCCTGACAGATTTAGTAGCACTTGAGTCATTATTAGTTGGTTACTATGCTCTTCACTTTAAGAAAAGTTTGTAAAACTGGGCCCCAATGTATACCGTGTCAATATGATTATTAACATGAATTTTTCATTTGGATTTTTCACTGGTGTTTTATCTGTATTTTGAATTATACATTGCATTGTTGCTTTATGGTCAAAGCTTAACTGATAATGTCCTGGAAGAAAATTACAGTGCTTTTCCCGGTTTTCTTTTCTTATAGTGTAGAATACAGTTCCAAATGGCTAGCAATTCCTTTAGAAGGATGTGGTAACTAACACTTGTGCCATTACTAGTGGGCTACCATCATGATTCTTACAAGAGTAAATGAAATCTTCTAACCATCCATCCAGAGAAACACTGAGAAACCATATATTTCTGGGAGGTTTGCACTCCTAATATTCCTGTAGTCTCCATGACTCTATAGTGATTCAGTGAGAAAATGTCCTAATCTGTCTTCTCTTTAAGTAATAACCTAATAATATTATGAAAAAAACCAACAAAAAAGGGTGAAGTTCAATACTGGATTAAAGGTCTAGAAAAACATTTCTTCAGAATTATACATATAGATAGTAAAACTTCGGTAACACTTTATTTTAAGGTGTCCTTGTTACAGTGTAATTATGTAACATTTAAGCACTGGGTAATATTAATTAACTACATGTACTTACTATTATAACAACAATTAATTATGCATAATTAATTGTTGTTATAATAGTAAGTACATGTAGTTAATTAATATTACCCAGTGCTTAAATGTTACATAATTACACTGTAACAAGGACACCTTAAAATAAAGTGTAACCAAAACTTCTCTTGGAGGAAAGATACAATCTACTAATTATTAACAGTTTACCCAAATCATTAAGTCCGCTAATACTGATTTTGTAAACAATCTGTGTAGGATACTTGTTAACAAATTTAAAAAGTTAATGTAGGGCTAGTCATTTTTTTTTGTTACTGATCAGTTTCGCATTAATTAAAGTGCATTGAGGTTTGGTTACACTTTATTTTACAACAGCCTTGTTACAGTGTAATTATTCATTTAAGTACTGAGTAATATTAATTAACAGCATGTACTTACTATATAGGGTTAGTGCATGTAATTATGCATAATTGACTGTTATTAGCCCACTGTAGTAAGTACATGTAACGTGTAACAAGGACACTGCAAGGTGTTACTTAGTAGCTCTCTGGGAGGCATGAAAAATAATTAGCTAATAGTGAACTACTGCTGTACTGTATTACAACCAGTGAGGAAACACTAGACAAGAGATGAGCTCTGTTCAGTCACAATCACATTTTACCCGAGATTGCTGATATCCCACGTTTTTTCTAATGCCAACTCAATAATAAAAGGTTAGCCTACTTACTTGCTTCGTTGTCTCGAAACAGAGCTGGGATAAGCACTGCCCTGGAACAGACTATACCTCGAAGGAGACCCATCAGTCAAAGGGAAGCTAATGAGACTAAAACACAGAAGCGCTGCACAGAAGTGAGCACAACCTGCGAGGACGGGCTTCATTTCCAATCAGCGTGCGCCTTATCCAAGCGTTTATAAAAAAGCTCAAAGAGAGTGCTTTTTTCAGGTTCGTGACAGAGTGGTGGTGATGATGGCAGTGAGATGGGACAGTGGCGAGAGTTTGCACGAGCTCCCGCCCCTCTTACTGGGATCAGGTTCCCGGCTTCATTAGTGCTCTCCCAAATACAGTTACCAAAGAACACTGATTAAACTCAGCTTTAGACGTGCACGTGCTATTACAGTTATGCCATTTCTTTAGAACAGAGGCTATTTTTTTTTTAAGAATTCCTGGTTAGAAAATCCAAAGGATCTTATAATGTCTATCAAAAGAACAAGTCCTGCTAACACTTTATTTTAAAGGTGTCCTTGTTACACACGTTACATGTACTTACTATTGTAATAACAATTAATCATGCATAATTACATGCAAGTAACCCTAAGCCAAACCCTAACCATATAGTAAGTACATGTAGTTAATTAATATTACTCAGTGCGTATATGTATAATTACACTGTAACAAGGACACCTTAAAATAAAGTGTAACTACTCAGTTCTCACTAATTGCATACTCTCACTCCCTTGCATTCGGCCTTTCTAACACATAAAACATGTCTTTCAAAAGTTAAATCAATATATATAATTTTTTTTTGTGTGTGAATAAGTGAGCAAGATGATTTTCACATCTTTTTTTTTTTTTTTTTGCAAAAACTCAAGTCTCAACCCAACAATTGGGTTGTTTTCAACCAACGGTAGGGTAAAATTTTTAACCCAACTTTCTGGGTAGTAACCCAACCGCTGGGTCAAAACAACCCAATCGCTGGGTTTGTCCATATTTTACCCAGCACTGGGTTGTATTTAACCCAACATTTTTTAGAGTGTAGCATATTGGCTGTTTATTAGTACTTATAAAGCACACGCAATGCCTTAATCTGCATGATCATATTTTAAACCGCACAGATATCCTTTAGAAACACCAGCTTATCGAGTGCATCTTATATGTGACCCTGGAGCATAAAAGCAGTCTTAAGTCACTGGGGTATATTTGTAGCAATAGCCAAAAATAACCAACAAAAGGGGAAGAAAAGTCCACAGGGGTGTTACAGTAAATATATCAAAACTTAATTTTTGATTAGTAATATGTATTGCTAAGAACTTAATTTGGACAACTTTAAAGATGATTTTCTCAATATTTAGATTTTTTTGCACCCTCAGATTCCAGATTTTCAAATAGTTGTATCTCTCACAAATATTGTCCGATTCTAACAAACCATACATCAATGGAAATCTTATTTATTCAGCTTTCGGATGATATATAAATCTCAATTTTGAAAAATTGACCCTTATGACTGGTTTTGTGGTCCAGGGTCACATAATATTTTTAAATCCCATTATGACAGGTTTCAAATCATGACCAGATTCTGGAGACTAATCTTAAAAGACAATCTGATACAACACAGGACATTTAGGTCATAAAGTAATAGAAAACTATGCATAAATATATATAGGCTAACTTTTGGTGTCTACTACACATTTTACGTATTAGTAATGCATATCATATAACACCCTTAAAAGGTATAACAGCACATAGGAAACTAGTATAATATGTAGTACAAAAATATGCCAAAGTTGAGCTTTCCTGTGAACCAATAAAATATATATATATATTTACAAAATTTTCCATATGGCACTCTGTATGCCAAAACTGTGAAAATTTTTTTAACTACAAAAAGTAGTTTATTACAGGGAAAAACTGCAAGAACAAGAACAAAAAAGGACATCAGTTTGTTATGGTAATGAAGGCTGTAATGCTGAAAAATAAGTCGGACACCATCATACATTATTTCCCACTAAAATAGTACATGACGAGTGATTTCAGACACTGAGTGTGTGAGAGAGAGCACTCAATAATGTCCACTATGGTGTCGGTTCCGTCGAATAGTGCACTGCATTAAGGTATAGAGGACGATTTCAGACAAAACAATGGGATGATGTATTTTTGCAGGCCAAAATCCAGAACGAGTGACAACATCTTAACACTTCTGGCTCCATCGTCCTTAAAGGGTTAGTTCACCCAAAAATGCAAATTAGGCTGCATTTTACTCACCCCCGAGGCATCCTAGGTGTATATGACTTTCTTCTTTCAGACGAATCCAGTCGGAGTTATATAAAAAATGGTCTTTGATCTTTCAAGCTGTTTAATGCCACTCAGCGGGTGTTGCATGCATCAGTCCAAAAGAACTTAAATAAAAAGCGCCTATCCATAAAAAAAGTGTCTCACACGGCTCCGGGGGGTGAACAAAGGCCTTCTGTAGCGAATCGATGCGTTTTTGTAAGAAAAATATCCATATTCAAAACATAATAATCACTGAAATGCCTGAAATAAGGTCTATAAGCACACAATATTTTCATGTTTTATTCTACAACATAAAATACATTAGTAATACCACCGTGTGATTTTATTAAAGCTTTTACTTGTGTCTAAATGGGACCACAGAAGTTGTCGGGACATTAAACACGATCACACCGAACACGTAAACTCATCTTCTCATTGGTCGCACTCGCAGCCTTGATTGTGTTTACGATTGCGCTCTTGCAAACTATTCTAACTCAAACTTTCAGGGGAAAAGCTTTTAAATAAAGACTGAAAATGCTTAGCTTTTTATATCTGGTTATTGTATTTAAGCTTCAAAATTTCTGAAAGTTGTGAAGATTATTATGGTGAACAAAACGTGCGAGCGTCATAAACGTTTGCTGTCACAGAGCTTATTTTCTGCAATCCTCCAAAAGCCGATGGATAAATCGTATCGAGTTATTGTGGAGGGAACCTGGGTGACGAGAACTTACAAAAATCGTTCATTACATCACCGCAGTGTTTTAAAGGCATATGTTTTAATGGAGTATGCGTTGAAATGCTAGTTTAAGCTGTATACATCCGCTACACAGCATTGTGTGCAAAAACCAAAGTGTGCACAGGACTTAGACACATGTCAGGAAAACAAACCCATCTGAATAGGATTTCGGTGAGAGTGTGATTGCTTTAAGTTTTGTTGTATAAAAAGAAAGAAGACCAGACTTGGTGTAAGCGTAAAAAAAAATTTTTTCTTCTTTTTTTTTTTTTTCTTAAAGATACAAAATATATTATGGACACAGTCCAATTATTAAACTTTTTTTGCTTTCTGCTTAAATCAGAGAAGTCTGTAAAGAGTGAAAAGTAAAAAAAAAAAAAAAAAAAAAGTATAAATACCCCTTTTTCATTTGCAAAGAACATAAAATATGGAACAATCTTTGACACTGGATAAACTCACAAAAAAACATTGCATCAGCTGTCAGCTTGCGTTACTTCAATGAATCTGCAGAAACAAAACAACAAGCTATTAATGTCAGTGAAAAGGCAACAGACGAGGCAGAAACAAACGAATGAATAGCAAAGACGTCAGAGGACTGCTGATGTACCCAGTTTGCGTGTTTTGCGGCGGGCTCTTTTAGCAGGGACTGAGGGCTCGGGCGTTTCTGGCTCAAGTCCTCGTTTCACTCTTGCAGCGTACATTTGCTCAGGAGTTCTGGCTGCAAACACACATTCACACACACATTTCAATCCCTGTCAGCATTTGCATAGACGTGCATAGACGGCTGAAGAATGTGCAATTCTTTTAAAGAGACTTAAGTCCTCAAATATTTCCTTAAGTGTGGTGTTATCTGATTATATGGGGGTTCTTGCAATGATTTGATGATCAACTGAATGAAAAACACCTCCAAGACCGTCTTTTTGCGCTGCCTGCAGGTTACGTAATAATCGTAAGCACATACACTACTTAAGTTGCAACTGGCTTGACGGGAGTTTTGTTTTTTTAATGTGTTGTGTAATTTAAATAGCCTGTCGTGATCTGTTCTGCTCGGTTTCTTGTGCTCTAAGAATATTCTCAGTTTTATTAAGAGAGCAGTTAAGGTGAATTTTATGTAAAAGAAGGCTATTTACAGTACGTTAACACCTGTTGCAATGCACAATGCAACACATTTATGAGCTGCATTACAAATTGCGTTTCAACATATTTTGAAATCCAACAATCAAAGCATCAATAGCATAAAAGAACGCAAACTTGCAAGAAAACATTCACGTTTTTTATGCTGCAGCCTTATGCTAAAATGCTTTTTTCACACTTAAACCTTATGCATACCTCTCACACTTTTAATCTACTTTATACCCCATAATGACTAAGCAAACAGATCTGTCATAACTTTGTGCCAATCATCAAAAGTCCGGTTTTGCATTCAGAAAGCAACCAGATCTACACTGACGGAAACACATACCGAGAGATCCCTCAAGATCTCTTAACTCTTGCTCTTGCTGCTGGAGCTCTTGTTGTTTCTGTTTCATCTGAGGACTCTGCAGGTGCTCCAAATGACTGTTATAATCAGACTGGACGTCAGAGGACTTCTGCATTGCAACACGACACTGCTGCAGTAACTCTGCACACACACAACCAAATATAAGACACAGAGATTATGTACAGTTTCCAGCCATGAGTATGAGAAGACACATAGTGTTCTTAGGAAACTCACATTAAGTGTTTTTAAGGCAAGACACCACAAGTGGATAGGGTAAAAATTTACAAATCGATATCACAGTATCTCTCTATTTGATTAATCACAGTACAACAAGATTTTTTTTATTATGTACGTTTTCGGGAAAAGTATGCAAATGATGCAATACCTAATTAAACATGCACTATTTTGCATTATTTTCCAAAACAACTCGATAAAGCCAGGTTTTGCAGGCATTTTGTTTACATACTGTATTAAAGGTTTTTATAGAGGGGATTTGGGATATCTCGTTTTATCACTCCATAAATCTGAAAATACAGTCAAAAAGACAGAACAAAAAAAAAATCTCGTTCTAGGCGTTAAATATATAATCAAACAAATGACCCCTCTGTAAAAACCTTCAGAATATAGAGAGTAATAAAACAAATTCTGGTGTATGTAAGTGTTACTTAAGTGGAGAAAAAAAAAAAAACTCATTTTGAGAAAACAGCCTTTAAAGATATGCATCAGGGATGCAAACTCATCTTGGGTGAAAAAGACACGCACTCACTGGATCTACACGAATCACACAAATTACCCATTTTGAATTCAAAACGGCGAATTTCGCCGAAAGGTGACAAGTTTGCATCCCTGTGCATTATAAATGAAATATACAGATGGAAATAGATGAAGTTTAATAAACACTTAAATGTGTATTTTGGATGCTTTCTTTCCATTAGTCTGAAATAAGACATGTTATGGAAGCAAAATAGCCCATAAACTTACCAGTTCATGAATGGTAATATGGATAAATATACTGACATTTTTAAATTGTTAATCTAAACTGTTAATCTTAAAAGAAGAGAGATTAGTTACTAGTTACATAAAGTATCTCAGATCATTCATAGAGTAAAAACCTTCCATTGCACCAAGAGATGCAGAATGTTTGTTACCCATCTGATGGCGGGTGCGGTTGTACTCTTTGGGTAATGGTGCTCCAAACACTTGTCCTCGAAGTTTCTCAATGGATGGAGCCTTGTTCTGCAGTCCTCCGAACTTCCCGTTGCTGCGTATCCGCTCGCCCTGACGCGTTAAGAGCGTGGGGCACTGCATCTTATTCTGAACCACCTACCAAACATACACGTTTATATGCACGTTTGCTGTAAATACTTGAAAGTTTTTCATCACGAACACACACAATCAGTGTCTTACCCCCCGACGATAATCATTAGCAGAATCCAAGTCATCAATTAGTATGGTGTCTCCAAGAACACTTGCAAAAACTGAAAAAGAGTCAGAAGTCAAGTCAAGTCAAGGAAATGCACATTTAACAGTAGCTTGAGTTTGGATGCAGATGTAAATGAATGTTCATTATCAAAAACAGTAACATCTGTAAAATTTGTAACAACCTCAATTTTATATGGTGAAACTGAATTATTCTGACCGTTTGAGTTTTATTAACATTAACCATTGGTTTTTCATAGTAGCCTACATTTAGATCATGATAACAACAGTTAAAACCACACATATAGCGCCTCAATACCAAGGTAAAAATGTAACTATATGGTTTCTAGGTATTTGTATGAAAAACAGTAGTCTAAATACTTTGAAAGTTTTTCATCACGAACACACACAATCAGTGTCTTACCCCCCGACGATAATCATTAGCAGAATCCAAGTCATCAATTAGTATGGTGTCTCCAAGAAGACTTGCAACTCATCTACATCTCAGATGGCCTGAGGATGAGTACATTTTGGGTGAACTATTTCTTTAAGCTGGCAGTTTTCTGGAAAGATTGAAATTTTAAAGTGCAATGTCCAATGCATACAAAATTATACAAAGTTACGACACAAAATTGAATGCAAAACATACTCAACACCTCCCTTTCCCAACATGCTGTTTACTAATATATTGTTTACAGTTTACTATTGTCTTCTTTTTAGAGCTGCTTTACAGCAGAATTGAATTTGGTTTGCATTATTGATACACTATTTTCCTGTCTAACACTGTAAAGCTGCTTTGACACAATCTGTATTGTATAAAGTGCTATATAAATAAAGGTGACGGCATGCAACAGTTTATTTCACAATGCATGTGAAGCTACTCCGTAAGTGGTGCTCTCAAACTCCAAATACTCATTCAAACAGGTCATTCATGCTCTGAGTATTTTCCGTCAAATGGGAATGATAAATGTTTGATAAATAAAATGGATGGAATAGTTTTGGAGGTGCAGCAGGGGCATCAATTGCGTATGGCGGGATATGACAGCTGTAAACGCCAAAGAATTTATTACAGGGTACCTGCAGGATTTTTAAAATCAAATTTAAGACTTTAAGACCTTTTTAACACCTGCACAAATAAAATTAATACCATATGAGCGGGGTAGAGCAATGTCTATGGTAACATACTAAACTGTAAAATGACTGTAAAAATCATGATTTACAGGTTTTCACAAAAACAAAAAGTTTTATAAAATGGTAAACTTCACATTTCAGCCATTAAACCATATTTAAGAAAAGGGATGAGTCAAAAGTTTTTTAAATTATATTAATTTAAACAATTACACTGCAATATATATATATATATATATTTACTTAGTGCTTTTGTCTTGTTTTCTAGTATAAATCTAAATCTAAACATTCTTGAATCAGGATGCATTTACTTAAAGGGGTCATATGATGCGATTTCATTTTTTCCTTTCTCTTTAGAGTGTTACAAGCTCTTGGTGCATAAAGAAGATCTGTAAAGTTGCAAAGACTAAAGTCTCAAATCCAAAGAGATATTCTTTATAAAAGTTAAGAGTTAGCCACACCTACCTAAAACGGCTCGTTCGAACACGCCATAATGTTCTTTTTAGCAGCATCATATGACCCCTTTAAGAAGCAAAATGACTTATAATAATAAGTCTCGTTTTCTGAAGAAAAAAATCTAATTTTTGTTACTTTTTGCTTAAAACAAGAAAAAATATCTGCCAATGGGATAATAAAAATAATCTTAATTCATAGGCAAAACAAGATTATTTTTCTTGCCCCATTGGGAGATATTTTTCCTTGTTTTAAGCAAAAACTAACAAAATTTTGTTAAATTCTTAGTAAGAAAAGCATTTTTGCAGTGTATTATCAATCAATTATTATATTAATTAAACAACATATAAAAAGATCTTAAGTGTCTTAATTGTTTAGAGTTTTATAATGCATTTAGCATGCGTTTGCGGTGTAAAATGGGTCGATTTTCGCACTGGTCTGAACAGAAACAGCAGACAGACTTATTGAAAAATGCAAATTCATTCTCTGCCAGCAGGAGGCGCTTTCGGAACGGCAGAAATATAACAGTTTCCTGGTAACAGCAGTAAACAAAGCAGCGCAGCACCGGACTCTGAAACATGCAGCGCTCGTGTTTATTTAATCAAAGTTTAAATAAACCTTTTGAAGTTTAATCGTCACATTAAGCCGTATCTCAATTCTTGTCTTACCGTTCCCAAATTTAAGACCACCTGAAATCATAATTAAGACTTTCTTATACAATTTAAGACTTTGTATGGCCTTAAATTTGATACAACTAAATTTAAGACTTTTTAAAGGGGTCATATGATGCTATTTTAAAGATCATTCGCGGAATCCCTGTATTATAAATAACAGAATTGAGTTTTAAATGGTTACATTAGTTAGTAAATTAAATCATTTTCATAATTAAAAAGAAAAGAATAATATATTGAGTTAAATAGGCTATAACAACTAATAATAACTCATGAATGAGAAATCATTCTGGGTGTCAACTGACAACCGAAGTACAACAGAGATATTAAATACACAAATACTTTCTGGGAGATTTTGTGCTCTTGGCTTACCTTTATTGCAGCTTTCTACGTGCTCAGGAAAAATGAGTATATCTTTGACAAACACAGGATTACCAATGGGTTGGAAGAGAAGCATGCCATTCCTGATGTGAGGCAGAGGCCTAAGACACATGAAAAAACATGCATAGAAAAAAGCATACAGCTGCGACAAAATAAACATACTCAGTTAAAGGGTTAATTCCTTCAGTGTGATCACGTCCAACTCTGACACGTGCAGCAAGGAAAACGTGACAGCGTGACACAACACACCAGATGATATTGTGAAGAACGCTGGCAACCAGACAGCTGCTGGTAGCCATTGACTTCCACAGTATTTTATCCCCCTACTACAAAAGTCAATGGCTACCAGCAACTATTTGCTTGCCAGCATTCTTCACAATGACTTCTTTTGTGCTCAACAAAAGAAAGAAATTCATACAGGCTTGGGTGAGTAAATGATGACAGGATTTAAATTTTCGGGTGAACTATCCCTTTAAGGTTACTCTCAGAAAAAAAAGTAACTGTAAAAAGTTTCACTACATATGAAACTGAACAAACGTGCAAAACAATTCATTCTGAGAGCAGAAGTCAGCTATTTCAATGCATATTACTAATCAAAAATTAAGTTTTAATATATTTACGGTAGGAAATTTACAAATATCTTCACTGAACATGATCTTTACTTAATATCCTAATGATTTTTGGCATAAAAGAAAAATCAATAATTTTGACCCATACAATGTATTTTTGGCTATTACTAGAAATATACCCCAGCGACTTAAGACACATATATCACACATATCATAGGCATTCAGCAAACGTGCAGTTACATAATTTTGGCAGGAAATGAAAATTCACCCTATTTATTTTCATGCATGTTACAGATCGTATTTTGAGCGAATTTATCCAAGCAAATGTTTCTGTTTTTTGACCTCATCATTTTTTAAATTAAAACATCATAACTTCCGGTGAAGTGACTGACATCTCTCTGGTGACGTATGCCGGAAACTTGGGTAGATCTTCTCTTGTAATTTCACTATTTTCTTCTCTTCTACCTTATATTTAGTGCTTTAACATAACAACCTGATACAATAGATTGTGTTTTTGTGTAACCTGATGTACTAAAATAACTAAAACTGAAACAAAATTTTTTATAGACATTAAAAAAAACAACAACAAAATTACTAATATACCTTTATTAAAATGAAAAGAAAAAAAAAATGAATAGAAACTAATTCAAAATATGAATAAAGGCTATGTGCGACGGCATGCATGAGTACCTGTCATTTGGTCTCCAGAAGACCGTCTCGAGGGGAATGACTTGTTGTCGTCCTTGCGTATCATCATAGATTTTCTTGGCAGCAGATGTAGTTTCAGTAACCACACAGTCCATGTCACCCAGAATATGCCAAGAGATCACCTTCGCTGCATCATCATCCTCCACCTGTGCCAGATGACCCACCTGCAAATCATTACACACAAACATCACCACATCAACTAATATCTTTGAAAGAGTCCTCTGATTCTCACAGCGCTTCTCAACCTTTCTGGATAAACGTCCCCTTCATTCCCAGTTTGCCTATAAACCTTAAGCACAAAACTCTATATTTGTGTTATATGCCTAACTCGCTCCATGCAACTTTCATAGATTACCGTATTTTTAGATTTCATTATTTGGTTAATAAATCCAACAGGATTATGCATCATGAATGTGATGTTCTGCAAGATAGATGCACGCCATTTTTAATAACACAACATTCATTACAAGTTTTACATGGGTAACAAATGTCATATGCATTTAAGATATTCAAATAATTTTGTTGTTTTATTCCTTGTTCAGTGACTCTTAAACTGCATTGGGTTCAAGATTGTATGCCTTTAAATAAAGAGCTTGGAGCAACGCAATAAAGTGCTTGAAAACCATGCTTCATCGCCACCCACGTATGGGTGACCATTTCCGCCACATAAGGGGAAAAAAATATGATTTGGTAAATCAAAAATTCAAAATTATGATATAATTTACTTTATACTAGATTTTACTTTTTGTTTTGCTGTTTTAATTCATAGTTTCGACTTTTGTCATCATTTCAGCTTTGTCAATTATGACTGTCATAATTGACATTATATATCAGTTTTGACTTTTGTCATTAGGATTTATGTCATCATTTTTACTTGTGTCATATATAAAACTGAGTTTTTGTCATAATGACTTGATGTCATAAAGACTTGATATGTCAATTTTGACTTTTCATAATTATGACTTACGTAAATTCCAACTTTGTCATGACTTGTCATAATTTCGATCTTTTATGTCAATTTAAACTTCTTGTCATAATTATGAGATAGTTATAATTATGACATTTTGTCAGTTTTGACGTCATAATTTTGACTTTTTATGTCATAATTATCACATTTTATGTCAATTTCATCTTTTAGTATGCCATAATTATTGACTTATGTCATAATGACTTAGTATGTCATTATTTCGACTTTTTGTCATAATAATGACATTTTATGTAAATTTCAATGTATGTCACAATATCAACATTTTATGACATAATTGTGACATAATATTCCACTTTTTGTCGTAATGACGTATGTCATTACTTTGACTTTTTATGTCATAATTCTGCTTTTCCAAAGCATGATATTTGTACTTAGGTGGCAGAAATGGCTTTCCATGCACAACAGCCAGTTTAATCTCTCTGAATATATGTGTCATTAAACACTGAACCTCCTCTATAGGTCACTCTGATAGCAGTCCATCATATGCATAACATGTTAACAGGCCAGTGTTGGCCTTTCAATAAGCATCAAACTTTTCTTCAAGTACTGATCGGGATGCAATGCATTTCCAAGACTCCTTTCACCCTGCTGACTTGTGACTGGATCACCTGATGCAAACACGAATACATACAAAAATCAATGGCACACCTTTCCCAGAACCTTTGGGCTGCCTTTGAAAGGGTCAGGAATGCTGCATTTACGCTGAGGCTGATTATCCATTTTGGTCAAAATTTCTTTCTTGCCATTTATAACTTTGTCTATTGCTGATACCTGGACAGATACACAAACAGAAACAAAAACATATGTGATTGCTGGAATTAAATGCATGCTCCTACAAAGAGCAAACAGCAATAGACTCACTGTGGTTAGTTTGGAGACGTCGAAACCACTTTTTTGGAGCTCTGCTTTGAGCTCATTTAGTTTGTGAGTCGCATCTTGCACCTGACCTGTAGAAACAAACAAATATAAGTCAGACATGATCTTGAGCAAAAATAAATGAATAACAAATAAACACATATTTAACTAACTAAAATAAAATACGCAGTGCCTACATTCAAGTTCAGATTTCAGTTGTTTACTGGTTTCAAAGACTTCCCGGTACATCAAAACGGTTTGGGAAAGGCGATCTTTCTTCTTACTGAGAGTCACAATGACTTTCTGATGTTCTGCATCTGAAAGAGATCAAAATATAAAAAATGGATTGATGTACACCCCCATTACACTCCCTAAGCAACAATAAATATCATATTAATTTAACAAATTAAGACACTTAGTATATAGTAAGCGTTAAAGAAATAGTCACCCAAAAATGAAAATTTGGTGACATTTTACAGGCCATCCAAGATGTAGAGGAGTTTGTTTCTTCATCAGATTTGGAGAAATGTAGCATTGCATCAGTTGCTCAGCAATGGATGCTCTGCAGTGAATGGGTGCCGTCAGAATGAGAGTCCAAACAGCTGATAAAAACATCACAATAATCCACAAGTAATCCACAGCACTCCAGTCCATCAGTTAACATCTTGTGATCCGAAAAGTTGCGTGTTTGTGAGAAATAAATCCATCAAACCATCATCATTTAAACCATCGCTGCTATCCAAAATATAACCCATAATCCATAATAACACTTCCTGCAGTGAAATAGTTCATCTCCTGTTGTCTCTCACATCAAAATCCACCCACATATTTGTTTAGAGCTGTTTTGGCTAGTAAACAGTGCTTGATCTGTGCACATTTCTCTCCTGATTCAGACCAGATGACTTTTTCACTGGAGAAAGCAATATTATGGATAGACTCGCATTTGGTTTCAAGTTAAAACATCTTAATGATGGATTTATTTCTCACAAACACAAAGCTTTTCTCTTCACAAGATGTTAACTGATGGTCTGGAATGGTGTGGATTACTTGTGGATTATTGTGATGTTTTTATCAACTGTTTGGATGCTCATTCTGACGGCACCCATTCACTGCAGAGCATCCATTGGTGAGCAACTGATGCAATGCTACATTTCTCCAAACCTGATGAAGAAACAAACATTTTCAGCAAATGTTCATTTTTGTGTGAACATTTCTTTTGCTGTAGTTTCGCAAAATTATGATCCTATAGTGACATTCATAGGTGCCCAACTCGTATGTTTATAACATCTTAATATCTTCATGACTTATAGTCGCATTTAGCAGATTAGAGCCGGATGATAAAACAGCTGACGTTTTGCAATGATATAAACAATCAAGCAGTTTCGATTTGCTATATAGCATATATCGCTTTATGTGCGTATACTGCATGTATGCAAATAAAGCTGGATAGACTTATATTTTCTACTTTCTATATAGAACTGTGATAATTCCACTACATATTAAACAAATATTGCTTTTCACATATGATACACTGCATTTGATTATGACATGGATTTTGTTGTTTTCTTATCTTATTTAGTATAGATTTTATTCTAATTTTATTATAATATGGACTGAATTTGATTGGTTAACTGTGTGACAGTCATTAAGTAACTGATATTGGTTTGTGTGTGTCTGCTGACTAACCGTTGCAGAATCTGAAAGGCAGGCTGTATGCAGCGATGGTAACACTAGTCTGCCGAATCTCAGGATTGAACTGAAGGATGTACTCGGCTCCATCTACACCGGGACTGTTCTCCAAAAGTGCCAAATCCTACAGGACACAAACAATAACTCCCATTTACCCACAATAACACGTTCTTCATTTAAACTGGAGTTCCTGAATGCAGTTTTGGTGACCCCATAGAAAGAGCATGCATAAAAAAAGGAAAGGATTTTACATATTTATGCATTTGAAAGATGGTTTTATCTTCATGCTTTTTTTTTTATATTTTAAGCTTTTTGTATCTTCATGCATTTTTAACTCATTGACTGCTAGTGCAATGCTCTACTGTTTATCACACCTTTTTTTGTACCAGTCCATTTTGTCATTTTTTTTTCAGTTAACTTGCACAAATCTCTCTGGAACTGGAACCGTGTTTCTCTGCAGTTGTGTATTTCATCTGAAAAGCTTACATTTGTGTGTATGTGCAAATGCTGAATGCCGCACATTATTGAAAAAGAGGTCTACAACTTCAATATGAGCTATAACATGCAAAATAAAATTAAGAGTTTCTCTGTCCTGTTGTTGTTGCACGATATTGGATTTTGCCGATATCCGATATGCCGATATTTTTCAACTCATTTTGGCCGATACCGATATATTTTTCTTTTGTTTGGATACCGATATATTTTTCTTTCTGTTCTCTCGTGGACAGAGATTATAAACAAATACTTTTTCAGTTTGGTTAGTTTTTAACAAAAACTTTCTTTTGAGAATTAAATAAACAATAAGGTTCTTTTATAATGAGAGTACATTGAAAGCTTTGAAAATAACTATAAAGCAACTATAAAGCAATCCTTAACATTTTATTTATTTAATTTACAAGTGTCTTGTTTGTGATTTGTATCCATGTAAGCTATACCTTCTGACCTTTAAATCAAAACATACTCATGATTTTATGACATCAATTACTGCTTTATTTAATCAGAAACACAATCTTAATGTTATTTGTGAGCACATGTGAGTCACTCATCTTATCTGTAAGGCATATCGGCTTAATTTTTCATTCAATGCCGATATTTGCATTTTAAGCCATTATCGGCCGATTTCGATAACGTTCCGATAATATTGTGCATAATATTATATAAATATTATCACAATAATACATTTAGTATGAATGTTTTTTTTTCTACAAATCAGTGTTTTAACCATATTTTATTTATATTTCCTCAAATTACCCAAGGAAGCTGAATTAGTTGAATTTATCAACATTGCCAACAATAACAGTGTTGTTACGGTTAACTAAAACTACTAAATATAATTTTCATTAATTGAATAAAATATTTCTATTTAGCTTTATTTTATTTAGTTGTAGTAATTTTATATGCTTTTGCCATTTTTCTTTTTAAAAATATTTCTATTCTTTTTTTTTTTTATTTAGCTTTATTTTCAGAAAAGAAAACTAATTTTAAAAAAAAGCACATAAAATTACTATATTTAAAATTAAGGTAAAAATCAAAATAATAAAATATAAACGCCAATTCAAAATATAACTAAATCCTATAATAGTATAGTATATGAATAATACAAAAATAACACTGACACAAACAAAAGACAGCAAACACTCACAGTAATGAGAGTCTCCCCGTTAGTGAGGCTGTATGACACACTTGTTTCTCCATTCTCAAACAAAGGAAGCACCACGTCTCCTGTGCCTTTAACTGTAACAATCACTTTTCCATCTAAACCCTCACCAGTAGCGTTACTGTATTGGTCCTGCAAAGTAAGAAACAAAGTATTTGATCTAAATGTTATTGAGAATTCAGAAATGACAGGAAAAAAGTGCATTGTGCAGAATACATTGCATGAATGCTGCAAATAAATCAGCAGATATAAAAAAAAAAAAAAGATACAGGTGGTGTTAAGCACCGCATGAAGCCCAAAGTTAACTCTGTTGACTGTAAACATGCAACCATCATCTCCATCTCTAGCAGCGACTGAAACTCACCATGATCTTCAGATTCAAGCTGTCTAGCAGTGTGCGATTGGCCCGAATGTTACTATTGGACACAACAGGAGTTAAAGGTGGAGTCTCGGGGGCTAATTTCACAGCTTTATTGGGAACGACATTTAGTGGAATCTAAAGCGGAAACACAAATATGAATCCTAAAGTAAGCAACAGGAAATAAAAGCACCACATACAATAAATTGGACAAAATAATTTTGTGTGTGTTTTCACCTGCTTGCTCCACAGATGTTTGGTTTCGTCCAAAGCCAACACAAACTGGACAACATACTGTCCTGCAAGCTCTGGAATCTGCCTGCTTATCCAAAAGACATCCGCATTCGATCGAAATAAAAACACATGGGTCAAAAATAACGACCCAAAACAATAGTTTTATTAAAAATAATAAATTTATTAATACATTTATTCATATTTATTAATACATTTATTCAAAATAAATAAATATATTTAATATAATAAATCAAGGAATTATATATAATAACAAATGTAATATATATATATATATATATAATGCCTTGATTTTTCTATGGCTCATATGTTTAAATAGCGGAAATGCAAGACATTTCTGAGAGAATCAGCAGCATTGGCAGACAAAGGCTTTTCAAATACAAAACTGCTTTACAGTTTTTAAGAAATGAAAGATATAAAATGCTTTGATGTTTTTATTTCAGACGTATTTTGCTCTATTGTCTCTATTACCTGAAGCAGAAGCAGTCGTCCTTCTCTGTGTGTTTGCGTTTACTACACTTCAGAGTCGAGGCCTAAGTTAAAACACAAAACATACTTCAAAATCCTGTTTCACATGATGTATTCTCCTTCTACTCCATATCACAACTGCCATATAATTCCCCCGTGTTCAAAATTCAAGTCTTATCAAAACTGCATTTTGTTTGACCAAAAATATACTTTTTTTTTTTTTTTTTTACAACATAATGTAATATTTAAGTACATTATATATGAATTTGCTTCATAGTAATGTGGAAAATATTTTATTTTGAATGTAATGGCTCTAAATATAGGCTTCATGCTCTTTTAAGGTGCGCTCAGCATTTTTTTTTTTTCCCCCGGCACCAACTTTAACCCTTACAAGCTTTTTGGCCATTTTTGACTGATTTTATTTTTGTTTTAAAAATGGTTTCCTTAATCTGAGTGGTTCAAAACTTGGTGACTTTTTTAGATATGCAATCTGAACATACAAATATATATATATATATATATATATATATATATATATATATA